CTGCTTCTCCCTCTCCCACTTCCCCTGCTTGTGTTCCCTCTCTCGCTGTGTCTCTCTCTGTCAAATAAATAAATAAAATCTTTAAAAAAAAAAAGAGCCAGAAATTCATAAAATGTATCATTTCCCATTGCAGGAAGGTGCTGCAAATGTTTGTTGCTATCTGAAAGAGCACATGTTAAAGGAATCAGTAGGATGTGACCAGTGCACTGACAAAAGTCAGGGATATTGACCAGAGGATAATTCTTGTTGAGTGGTTAGGGGACAATCTAAGTGAATCCTTAGGGAAGAAGCTTGCCAAAGACCATCAGTCCTCCCCGAGATGTGTGGGTCTACACCACCTCTGAGCTCCCTGTGTTAGGAAGGAACTCAATGAGGATGCTTGGGAAGACACATGGACCTTTAACAGGACATCTGTTTTCTTGGGATGAAGCACCTTGTCTCTATGAGGGCGTTATTTCCATACATCTACTCTACATGTGTCCCCTCTCTGCTTCTGGTCTTGGACAAAGGCAGGTATGAGGAGAAGGTGAGGACAGGAATAAGGAACAGATTCTCAGGAAGGACTTAGAGGAATGTGGTCCAGGAAAGGGCTCTACATGGGGCAGGTAATTTAAAGGGAACGGTTCCCTTGCAGAATCCAAAATAAAGGGTGGGATTTCCTCCCTCTCTTCTGAGAATGACAAGTGTAATAGAGTGGGGAGAAATAGATCAATTACCGTGATGTGCAGGAGCTCAAGGTTTTGGGGACGCCCTGGAGAGGAGAGAAGGTGAAGCAAAGAAGGGCAGGGGGAGGGAGGAGAATCTGAATCAGAAAGAAAGGACCCCATCTGCTGGTTTTATTCCCCATACAGAACCCCTGCCCCTCTACAGAGGAACTGTCTGAGGAAGCTAATAAATGTGGTGGAATGAATGGCTGAGGGTTTGAAGAAGCTGAATGGGCACAGAGAACCTGTGGGAAGATTAGTCCAGTTTTAGCTCAGGCCACTCTCAGCACAGAGAAGGTCTTGTGAGCTCAAGCACCTGTTGACTGTCCCCCACATCATGAGTTCCAATTTGGGGGAGATCCACCTTCTCAATCCTCTCAGGATACCCCACAGACCTTCTTCTCATCAGAAGAGCCCTTCCCCCCCAGGGTCCCTGACATTTGGTCACCTGGACAGGAGCCTTCCATGGTGCTGACCTTTCTGCTACTGCTCCTCCTGCCTCCAGAGTGGGAACAGGTGACAGTTCTGGAATCCCACATGGAGTGGGGCTGGGTGGGTGGCAACTCTTGCAGGTGGGCACAGGGACTCCTCTCTGAGCTGCACATGGGTAGCAGGCGGAGTTCTCACATGGATTGTATGTTGCAAATTAACATGGAACCATGTTTGAAGCAGGACAACATAGCCTCCGGAGGGCCTTTATGGAACCTGGGGATACTGAGTCTTGCTCACTCTTCCCCCTTCATTCTTGAGAATAGAATCAATCATGCAAACATGATGCTGCCATTTCCCATGTCCATTCCCCACCTACCTCTGGGTGGATGATGGTTCTGGTCACAGGGTGAAGGAGGACACGACCAGTGTTCCCTGCTGACTGAGGGAGGACATGCATCCATCCAGGTTCTCCATATGGTCAAAAGGGTCATAGTGCAGGAGAATCATACCTGGCTTGGGGGGATCATTGCTCCTTGTCCCACTAGAGCTGGCTCCGGGCCCTGGAGGGGTGGGCATCAGTGTCCACACTCTTGTTAGGCACACAGCGCACCCTTGTGGCCAAAGCATCACAACCTGTATTTACATTACACAGCTGGCACTAGAAGCAGGTAACCTGCTTCTGATATCTTCTCTTACACCTGCAGAGGGAAGACTGGGTGTTGGGACCAGGGATTCCCCAGATCTCCTTCCTCCTGTCCTTCTTCATCCACACTGGACCTGCCACTCTCTACAGTGCATGAACTTCAGAGCAAAGACACTCTGTGTCCTAACCTGATGGGGGATGTCCTTTCTGTGTGTTTTTAGACACATTGTCTAGGGAAGGGCTGCTGTGAGTGACTTTGAGGACAGAAGGGAAGGAGGAGCCCTGACTCCCAGGTGGTGCTCTGGATGGACCTGGCCCCATGATGGCAGCAGCAGGAGCACCAGAAGCAGAATCCACAGGCCAAACTCCTCCTCCCAGCAGATGAGAAAGGGGTTCTGCTCCCAATAATCACAGGTCTGGGGTTCTGTGTGAGCCCTGAGAATGTTGTCACAGGAAGGGCTGTGACGAGCAGTCCCATCCTCAGACCACAGCCCAGTGATGATCAGGAAGCCAGAGTCACCAGACATGGAGCCAGAGAATGGATCAGGATCTCCAAAGGGTCCAACCATTATAATAGGTGAGGATTTGGGGTTTCATTCATGGGAGCTGTTGGTCCAGGACACATATTGTACACCCCTGATGTGTCATGTCTCAGACAAGCCTCAATTCTGCATGCCTGTCTCAGTCTTGACCTGTCACGAACTCTTCACCCCGTGGTAGCCTGACCCTGACACAAAGGAATGTCTGCTTAATTTGAGAAAATCATATAATATATTCACGTCAAGGACAGACATTGGAAGCTGAATTTAAGAGAACGGGGACAGGTTTTGTAGACAGAGGCCGTAGAATGTGTTTCAGACTCCAGCTTATACCAGCAAACAAAGGAATCAGCTGACAGCCAAGGTGTAGGGGCTTCACAGGAAACCCTATTGCCAAGGGGACACCAAGTTTTTGTCTCACTTCCCCACAGGCCTGGAGCACTGTGTGAGTATTGAGATTGCTATCATAGGACTGGCAATAATACTCAGCCTCGTCCTCAGCCTGAAGGCCAGTGATGGTCAGGGTGGCTGAGCTTTCTGACTTGGAACCAGAGAATCGATCAGGGACCCCAGAGTTTCTGCTATCATCATCAGAGATGAGGAGAATGGGTGCCTTTCCTAGGAGCTGTTGGTACCAGTTCACATAATGGTATTCCTCTCCATCATAATCCGTGCTGGTGGGGATTCCAGTGCAGGAGATGGTGACCCTCTGGCCCAGAGCCCCAGACACGGAGGGCGGCTGAGTCAGCACAGACTGGGCCCAGGACCCTGCAAGGGGGAGAGACACAGAGAGGGTGATGCTGGGGTCTAGAGACAAAAAGAGGAAGGAGGGCCCTTCATGTCCTCCCAGGACCCCTTCCCCTGTCCCTGCATCCAGTCACCTGTGCAGTGAGCGAGGAGGCTGAGGAGGAGAGGGGACCAGGCCATGGTGGAGGTCATCACCGATCCTGCCTTCTGTGGCCCCACAGCTGAGCAGAGCCTCCCCTAATCTCTTCCTTCCCCTCTTCAACCTCTGAGAGAGGGAGGGCTTGTCTATGCAAATGAGAGCCCCAGCTCTATAACACCTCATTGGTCCTGGGTCAGGTTCCTCTCCCTGAAGATGTCGGGGGACAGGCAGAGGAAGGACTCTGTGGGGCCAGGGGGTAAGGAGGTCACAGTTCTGAGGCCTGAGCAGAGGGCACAGAAGTGTCAGGTGGCCAGTCTCAGCTCTGATCACCCCTGACCCCACAGAAACTGGCTTTGATCACCCCCTGGTGTCAGATCCAGACATACCTTTGTGTGAAATGGTGACCAGAGCCCATCAGACACAACTCTTGCCTCCGCACTGCTCTGATCACTGTCCCGTGCATTAGAGCCATGTTAGATGTCCCCTTATGTGTCCTCACGTCATATCAGGGCAGTCTTTATGCTCTACTCAGACTCCTCAGGGTGAGTGTGTCCACAGCTCCTTGTCTGTTCTTGGGTCAGAACTGAGATGGTGTCTCTACAGAAACTCCTTTAGATCAGGATCCAGTCCAATGCAATGACAGAACCCCAGGGACACATGGTCCCTTCTGTGCAGGATGCTGGGTCTTTCTTATAATGTGACTCCTCCCTTGTTTCTAGAGCTCTCCCTCCTGAAGGTTCCCACAGCACTGAGGAGACAGGGAATGATTCTTTCCAGGTTGTGTGTAGAAGTCCTTGTGTGCATCACTATAGGGTTACACACTGAAATTATTTGTCACCTGTCGCTGTTTCCACCTCTTCGGCTCTGATCTCCTAGCACACAGACACAAGTCAGCAGGATCCCTGCCACGTGAGGCTCTGTGTGGCACTGATCTCAGAGCACCAGTGCCAACTGCTGGAAGTTCTAGGAGGGAAGGAGTGACAACTGCAGATGCTCTGACAGGGACCCAGTGACAGAGCTTATGTATCAGTCATGCTTTAGCCTACAGTGTACTTAAAGTGGATGCATGTTATTGAAACAAAATTCAGCTCAGTAAGACTGTTTTAAAGTCAATGGCAACGTCAAGTTGAAGTTGCAAGTACAATCACTTGTATACTTTTCCAGATCTTTTCTTATTGTAGACAGAGTATGGGTAGAAGTTGTGGTTAAAAGATGGAGGTAAAAACAATGGAAATGAATTCCTTCCATTTTTGGTGGATAGGTTTTTATAAACTTCTGTCTTCATCATTTGATATAATAATAATTATTATTATTATCTTATTCATGAATTTTGTATCATGGGTCTAGGCCTGCAGTTAGAAAAGCATGATATGTTGCCCAGTGGACTTCATGAGGGGCCCATTCCTATGATCCTCAGAGCCCTTACACTGATGGAATTACCAAACACAGACAGACTTTCCAGGATGGAGCCAATTTTCAGTCACACTTTCAAGGGGGGGCACAACTCTGGTTCTTGTGCCTTGCATCCAGCATGTTCAGGATAGAGCAAGTGCTCATTCAACCACCCGTAAGGAGAGGATGATTTTTTTTTTTTTTTTTTTACCCAAGGCCGACTAGATCCAGAAGATTTTGTCAAAGTCCCACACGTGAGAGGTGGAGAGGTGGAGATAAGGGGGAGGTGGAGATAAGGGGTCACAGCCCTGTGGCCCTCAGTTAGGACAGAATTTTCAGCAGAGGCCCATCCTAGCAGGACCGGTCACAGTGGTGAGTGAAGGAGTGACAGTCCAACCTTGAGAACACGGGGAGTTTTTGTTCTTCTTCTCCATGAGCCTTGAGCTCTGTGGTATTAGAGCCATGTCCGGTATCCCCTTATGTGTCCTCCCATCACATAAGGACAGACTTTATGCTCTACTCAGACTCCTCAGGGTTAGTCTGTCCATGGCTCCCTTGTCTGTTTTTGAGTCAGGACTGAGATGGTGTCTTTACACAAACTCCTCTAGATCAGGATCCAGTCCAAGACAGTGACAGGACCCCAGGGACACATGGTTCCTTCTGTGCAGGATGCTGTGTCTTTCCTATGATGTGACTCCTCCCTTGTTTCTGGAGCTCTCCCTCCTGAAGTTTCCCACAGCACTGAGGAGACAGGGAATGATTCTCTCCAGACTGTGGGTAGAAGCCCTCCCATGCATTCCTAGAGGGTCACACACTGAACATCTTTGTCACCTGTCACTGTTTCCACCTGCTTGAAACAACAGTGCTCCACACACTGTGGGCAGCGATTCCCTCCTAGGCTCTGTCCTCCAAGCACACAGACACAAGTCAGCAGGAGTCCAGCCACGTGAGGCTGCATATGCCAATGACCTCAGAGCACAAGGGGCAAATGTTGGAAGGTCCAGGAGGGAAGGAGTGACAGCTGTAGATGTTCTGACAGGGATCCAGTGACAGAACTTATGTATCAGTCATGCCTTAGTCTACAGTGTACTTGAAATGGATGCATGTTATTGAAACAAAATTCAGCTCAGTAAGACTGTTTTAAAGTCAATGGCAATGTCAAGTTGAAGTTGCAAGTACAATCACTTGTATACTTTTTCAAATCTGTGCTTATTGTAGGACAGAGTATGGGTAGAAGCTGTGGATAAAAAGATGGGTGGAAAAACAATGGAAAGAAATGCCTTCCATTTTTAGTTGGATAAGTTTTTATAAACTTCTGTCTGAATCATTTGATTTATTATTATTATTATTATTATTATTTCAAATTTCAAGTGTTTTGTATTGTGGGTCTGGACCTGAAGATAGAAAAGCATGACATGGTTCCCAGTGGATCCCACAAGGGGCCTGTTCCTATGAACTTCAGTGCCATCTCACTGATGGGATTATCAAACACAGAATTTTTTCATTACCCAAAGCCAAATGGATCCAGAAGATGCCGTCAAATGTCCCACATCTGAGTATTCGGGAGGTGGAGATAAGAGGGACTGTGTCCCTGAGGTCAGAACACTGTGGCCCTCAGTTAGGGCAGACTTTTCAGTAGAGGTCCAGCCTAGCAGGAGGGGTGACAGTGGTGAATGAAGGAGTGACAGCCCAGCCTTGAGAACACAGGGAGGTTTTATTCCACATCCCTGTGAGTCTTGAGCTCCATGCAAGCATCCTGAGGCTGCTGTCCCAGAATTAATGTACTGATCAGCCTCAGATGCTGCCTGGACCCTGGAGATGGTTGGGGTCTGAGCTGCCCTCAGGGACAGAGACTCCCCCTGGGATTCCTGAGCATCAGCATCTTCCCAGAGAAGCAGGTGCTCAGGGCACATCCTGGCTGCCCTGGTGACAGGACCCCAGTCACACTTGATGTCACCAGTGTTTCCTGCTGATGGGAATTCTGCCTCCTGAGGATTGTGACACTGAGGATGGCTGGGTGAGCATAGGTTGAGTCTGACTTCTGGAAGGACTGAGAAGACTGGAAACTGCAGAGGCCAATAAAATATACACTCAGAGAGATGAGAGCTGTGTGTGTGTGTGTGTGTGTGTGTGTGTGTGTGACCAAAAATGAGGCCAAATATCCCTCTGTTCATCTTATGACTTCTCCTGAGAGATGGTTCTCCATGAAGGTGATTCTGGATTTAAAGGGCAGGTATCTCAAAGACCTCTTCCCCGTGGGGGGACTTGTATTAGGCAGAAGGATTAACATGAGAGCCAACCTGTTAGCAATTTACTGAATCAGAAGTCAAGGTCTTGTTGAGTGACATAAATCTGTCTATTTTATCTCATCTGACCTTCCATCCAGTGAATGGTGTAAGCATAACTTAAAGCAAAAGATGCCTAATAGTGAAGAATCTATCATCTATCTATCTGTCTATCATCTATCTATCTATCTATCTATCTATCTATCTATCTATCTATCATCTATCTATCTATCATCTATCATCTATATATTGATGCAGTGGATCACAAACTGGTATTATTTTGTCCCTCGTGGGAATTTGGAAATTACCTGTGTGGTGAGCAAGCAAGGTGAGGATAGGAGAATACAGGCCCTGGTACAGATGCCCCATACTCTTGCTCTTGAGCCCCAGAAATAAGCCTGAGGCCATTAACCCTTCTTATGTGTCCCTCTGATCCTTATTTTGGGGGTTCTCCATGCAAATATTTCCCTCCCTATTTAGACCTATGGCTGGGCTCCAGCTGAACAAAACAGAGTGTAGGAGTGGAGAGTACTTCATCCAGGGATGATGCAGGAGCACCAGCTAGAGGCAGGGAGACAGGAGCTCCCAGCTGAGGACTGGGTTGCACCAGCTCCCTCCAGTGGATACAGGAGACATGTTAACCCTGGGCTACAGATGGTACCCAGGGCTCCTGTATTCCCGTCCCACTGCTCATTGTTCCAGCCTCTTCAGGTTGGATTCTTTCGTTTAGAAATACCTGTGGGAGTGTCCTTCATATGTTTCTTGACTTGATAACTCAGTCTTTTCATCACTGAATTATATTCAGAGTATGTATGTACTAGGGTTTGTTTACCCATTCACCTATGAAGGACCTGTTAGTTTCTTTCAAGTTTTGACAATCAAATAAATGAGCAATAAACATTTATGTGTATATTCTGTGTGGACACAAGTAACTCATTTTGGGAAATATGTGGGAGTATGAATTCTGTATTGCATCATACATAAGTTCATCTTTTTAAGGAACTGCCAAGGCATCTTCCAAAGTTCTGGGGCATTTGGCATTCCCACCAGCAATGAATGAGAGTTCCTCTTGCCACGTGTCCTTAGCAGCATCTGATGCTGCCGTTCTATCTAATTTTATCTATGTTAATAAGAATCTGGTGGTACTTCATAGATGGATTTTATGAATTTGAGGAATGTTCCCTCTATCCCTATACTCTGAAGAGTTTTAATCAGGAAAGGATGCAGTATTTTGTCAAATGCTTTTTCTGCATCAATTGAGAGGACCATATGGTTCTTCTCTCTCCTCTTCTTAATGTGTTCTATCACATTCATTGATTTGCAAATGTTGAACCACCCTTGCATCCCAGGGATAAATCCCACTTGGTCGTGGTGGATGATCCTTTTAATGTATTGTTGGATCTTCTTAG